CCCCCCCCCCCACACACACACACACACATTTTAATAACAGAGAAAGTAAATACTTAATGAAGTCTTACGAATGCTGTTGAATAATGATAGTCCTGTGTTCAGAATAAATAGTTTTGAGTTTTTTTGGAGCCAGAGTTCCATACAGAAAGTACATTCAGACTAAGCCAACGCTAGTGCTAGCATGAAGAATTAGGAAAATACACTACATCAGAATTTACCATTAAATTAAATCTAGTCTTCGGTCGAGCCACCATGATACAGCTCTGTCTGATTACAAAAATCCTGGATCCAATCTCCATGATTGAAAATGAAGTTATAATAAAAACAAAGATGGGAAACATACCATATTCAATTCATAGAGCTAAGGCAAAACAATGCAAAGGAAGCAGTTGATTTAAATATGGTATTCTATAGTGATTAAGAACACTTTCTACAAAAATGCTGTATGAAAGGACAAATAATTTTAAATGTCTAAGAGAAGCACCTCATGCAGATTGTGAAACTGAAACATCAAACAGAAAGAATCACAAACACAGCAGAACTTGCTTTCATAGTCCCTAGGTATTGAATCATCAAAAAATGAGAGACAAAATGAAAAACAGTCAAAATCAATGAGTAAATACATAAATAGAATCAAATGATTAAGAAGATCAATTCTCATGACAGTAATGAGCTGAATGAGCTTAAAAAGGAAGAATAAGGATAACTGGGAACATCTATGCTGCCTTTGTGACAGTGCAAAAGAGTTGTGTGCATAATACCTACAGATAATCACTTTGTCAGCCTCAGGCTGCCAAAACCAATTGGGTGAATTCTGTCTGAAGGAACAGACACACAAATGAACAGATCCTACCTTCAGGTGGACACATGTTGATTGAAAGTCTTACTCCAGGCGTTTTTCCTCCAGATTCAAGCTATCACTCCAGTAATACAATCAGGGGATAGATAGAATCCTTCAGGTAGTAAGCTGAAGACACAAGTAGTGTAATAATAGAGGAATAATCCAAGTGCAATTTCATGCACGCTAGAAGTCACTCCCTTTCAGAATGTTAATACCTGCACCAACAGAGACCCAATCATAGAGTTGAAGAGAGGGGCAGGATTAGCAAAAGAACTGAGTAATATTCTGTTAAAGAAAATATTACAATAAAAGTATTCATCAATCACCTTTCTAGGTAATAAAAGATGAGATCTTAAAAATCTTCAAGCTTTTAAACAAAAATGTATTTTTTCTTACAATGTTTATGATTTTTTAATTTTTCTGCAGAGAACATAAAACCAATGTCTTCCTACTCAAATGAATGAGGAATTATTCAATGCAGCTGGCAATATCCTGATTACCTTCAGCACACAGCAGTATTAAAATCAGATTAGCTTTATAATATACCATCATTTGGATTTATTCAAACTTAGTCAAGAGGATAATACTCAGCCACTACGCTGTGCTCCTTTTTAATGTGAAACTTATGGAAACACGTCAAACAAGTGTGTTTTTTTCCTTTAAAATATGTTCCAAAAAAAAAAAAAAAAAAAAGAAGTTTTTTTGTCTTCAATGTTCATGCAATGTTTTAGCTGTAATATTCATATTATGTTTGAGAATGATGGACAGATGGAAAGGACTGTGAAATAAACAGAACTGTTTAATAGCTGACAAATGGTACTCCCTAAGCAAGGCATAAGCAAGGACAGCAAAACCACAGCTAGAAAATGTGGCTGCAGCATTGGCTGCTCTATGTTCTGCTCGGTCAAATTTTTCCTTACCATAAGACATAGATGATTTTATTATCAGTGAGGTTACCCTCAAACATGGAAAAAGAACTCTCAGGGGTAGTAGTTTGCAGACAAGACCTAAGGAGGGAAAAAAAAAAAAAAAAAAAAAAAATGATCTCAGCATAATCAAAGCAATGCTATCTAAATATTTTAATATTTTGTTTCAATCTTTTGCAAAACAGGGTCCTTGATCTGAAACAGTAGTTTTGCTAGCACACCCTGCTCTCAAGCAATGTACATGAGCAAAGTAAAATCTGCACTTTTGTCAGAAAACTGGTTCCAGTTGAGAGCAACACTGACACTTGAAGAAAGCATATGTGAGCTGCCAGGACTTTATTGCTTTCTAAATCTTAATTTAGGTAATTTAGGTAATATGCTGTCACCTTCCTCGCTTTTACAAGGCATCTTTTCCAGTTGAGTGAATGGTTGGCGTGTCTGCCTCAGCAGGTACTTCAGCTGCTAAGCTGCACCAAACTCAACTCAGAGGGAGATGAAACTTCCAATTTGATCACAAGAAATCCTGCCCCTGCTGGGCTTTAAGCCAGTCTCCGCATAGAAGTGGGATATTTACTATTTCATCTGAAAAAGATTAAGAGAGCCATGTGGGGTCATAGGAAAAGAAAAATGTCTATAGCATAAAAACTGTCTCAGATGTTGACATGGATAAGTTGTGGTTGTCTGATCAGCACTGATTGTGAATGAGTCCTGCCACAGTGCACCTGTTGAAAGAAATTCATAGCCTGCAAAAAAAAGTGTGACATGTTGAAAAGCAGCTGTTGCCTTGATGCTGACAGGGAACATAACTAAATAACTCATAACAACTAGTCTTATTCCAACATATTTTTATTTTTCCTAGGACATTCTAGGTACATTCTTAATCCTCATGGAAATTAAACAATTTTGTGGACATTTCACTAATACATAATCTCTAACTTGTATAACAGAAAGAAATTCTAATTAAGAGAGCTTATATGTACAGAAAAACAGAACAGGAAAAAATACAAAACAAAACAAAAAAAAACCACCTCCTACAACTGCCTTGAAAATTTGCAGCAGGATTACTTTCAGCTGTCATTCCTTGCCACCACTACAGTAACAGGGATCCTTTCCCTGTTCATCAAATTCTTTGAGCTTATTTAAATTGCTCATAGAATCATAGAATCACAAGGTTGGAAACGACCTATAAGATCATCTAGTCCAATCATCTCCTCATCACCATTGCCACCACTTGCACTAAACCACATCACACAGCACGCCGTCCAGACGTCTCTTGAACACTGCCAGGGATGGCGACTTCACCACCTCCCTGGGCAGCCATTCCAGTGTCTGACCACTCTCTGAGAGAAATAGTTCTTCCTTATGTGTAATCTAAACCTTCTCTGATGCAACTTGCGGCCATTTCACCTGGTCCTGCTTGTTGCCTGGGAGAAGAGGCCAAACCTCTCCTCACCACAACCTCCCTTCAGGAGGTTGTAGAGTGCAATGAGGTATTCCTTGAGCCTCCTCTTCTCCAGACTAAACAATCCCAGCTCCCTTAGCTGCTCCTCATAAGACTTGTGCTCCAGACCCCTCACCAGTTTTGTTGCCCTTCTCTGGACACGCTCCTGGACCTCAACATCTTTCCTGTAGTGAGGGGCCCAAAACCGAACACAGTACTCAAGGTGAGGCCTCACCAGTGCTGAGTAGAGGGGGGTGATCACCTCCCTGCTCCTGCTGGCCACACTATTTCTAATGCAGGGCAGGATGCCACTGGCCCTCTTGGCCACCTGGGCACACTGCTCAGGGGGCACTGCAGAAGTTTTCTAAACCACTTGCTTTACTTATATTGCTATGTGCATGAGAAACCAACAAAAATACTCTCAGTTTCATCAGTGAGAGACAGGGAGGGAGGGAAGCAAATACAAGCTTCTCACAAATTCATGGAAAACACTTCCTACATAAGATTAGCTAAGATACCAGCCTGGAAAAATCTCACAGTCATTTGCACCTTTCATGTGTTTATCAAGAGAATGAAGTATTTTCTACAGCTGACAATACATTTTGAGATAAAAACTGCTTGTTTATAATCTGATTTACGGAATTTCAGCCTGCAATTTAAAACTTAGTGCATCTCTTTGGATAATTACTGAGTTCTTTTCTTCATGTTTGATTATGTACTAATGGAAAAACAATAAACGGACTTCCTTATTGGATTTGTAGCAAAATCATTATTGTTCAATTGTGAGATTTGAAGGCTATAGGAAATGAAATGAATATAAATCAGAAAAGAAAGGGAAAGACACTGAAAATACAACACAAAAAAATAAAAAGTTGAAATTAACCCAAATTAAATAAATAGAATCCTAAAAGCCTTAGAGATGGAAGAGACCTTCAAAGGTCATCTAGTCCAACTTCCCTGCAATGAAAAGGGACATCCACAGCTAGATCAAGCTGCCCAGAATTTGATCCAGTCTTATCCCGAAAGTTTCCAGGGACAGAGTATCAACCACATCTCTGGGCAATCTGCTCCAGTGCCTCATCTACTCACTGTAAAAGACCTTTTTTTATATATTGCCATCCATTGCTGATTAAAGTACATGTGAAGGAAGAGAGCTTAATTAGGCTTTTCGGAAGCCTGATTTTTATTTCACTGCTCAATAAGTACTGGCAATTGCTAAGTAGTCTGATTTGAATTAAAGGTGGTTTATTCCAAAGGCTACTGAAAGATGAAATTTGTAAAGATTATTACTCAAATTTAAAATTTATCTTTGAAAATAACAGTAATAAGAGTTGGAATATTTCATAATAAATAACATTTTTACCTGCCTGAAGAATTTTAATAGCAATTAGTCCCCAATGAAGCAAATTTCTGATAATAGATTAGAAAAGTAAAAAAAAAAAAAAAAAAAAAAGTGTAATTCTATTTACAGAAACTGAGAGTGTCCAGCCAAAGATTAAGGACATTTATAACTGTTTAATTTGAGACCAAGCAGACAGTGTTTAGGAAAATATTAAAGATTAGGCTAATATGGAAAATTATTGGTAAATTTCCTAAGTATTATGAAAAAAATTTGCAAGTCTTCTAAATTGATCAGTCTCTCTCTGTTTTTATTCAGCTTTAAAATTCATTTTATTTATCCATATCACTAGTATCTAAATGTGTAAAAACACTGAGAACACCATAATTCAGAGAATCAGCGAGCCTTCAGGGCTCTTTTTACACAGTCTGCTTCCAACAAAGAACCAGGAAAACGAAATTGCTGTACACAAGATACATGCAGATGCACACAGCTTTCTCTTATAATTTTATAAATAGGATAGTAAAGTATTATTGTAATTTACAGTGCAAACAGCTTCCATCATTAAATGCAAGGCTATCTAGATCTCACATGAGACAAACATGCATTTAACTTAGGTTTAGGTTTCCCAATATTTGCAGAATGTTATCTCTTGAGAAGATATATTGAATATATTTGTCCAAATAAATACAGTTTTAAAGGACTTGGTTGAATGTATTTATATTTGCTCATATATACATATCATTCGTTAAAATTGAATTACTCATCTATAACCTATTTTACATAATACTGTAAATAAACTGTAGACATACTTAAATTTTGTCACAATTTTTTGCTTTTGCTGATGAAATAAAGAAGCTCACATGACTAAAATATTTCATAATAAAATTAAATTATGGCTTCATCCGTCAACAAAAGATCAGAAGCAGCAAAATGGAAAAAGCTAATGCTAGGATAGGAAGAAGACTGTATTTAGTATGAGCTTTCCTCTTCCTGCTACCCCTCCTAATATACTTTATAAGCTGAACAGGAAGACCTTCATACTCATCAGATTTACTGGAGAGAACATTCAAAGATTTCCCACCTTCACTTGTCCCCTTCTTGTCCAGCTACAAGTGCAAAAAATATGCCAAGTCCTGTAGTATTTTTAATTAATTTTTTACTATCCCAGTTGCAAAAATGCAATACACAAATAGCAATAAAGAAAGAATAAATCAATTGTACTATTCATCTTATTTCTTGACAACAGAAATATTTACCTTCACGAACTCTGTTGAGATGCACACTAAGCACAGACAACAGTTTAAAACTCAGATACAAACCAAATGGAAACACACAGACTTTTAGGCGGGGGACACCATGTAAAAAGCATTACTATTTTATTTAGCTATCCTTATCAACTTGTATAAGTAATAAATGTTTTTCATTTATACTTAGCTTATGCATATTATAAAACTAATATTTGTAGAGTTTAGAAAAAAATAAGAAGAAAAATCACCAGATTTTTACATGTAAGTGATTCAATATTAAAGAAAATATATATATTCATATTGAAAGTCAAACAATATGTAGTCCAATCTGTAGAACAAGCACATACTGAGCCAGTTAAGCCCCATAAATATATGAACAAAACATGGTACCTGACAATATCTATGTAACTGTGACACATGGCTAGCCATTCTAAAATTGATTCCAAATTATCTTTCAAAATGATTTGTCAAAAATGCTTTTGTCACTCTTAATTCCACATAAATTCATGACCTATATTCCATGGATATGTCTGTAACACTGAAGCTACTGCTGCATATAATTCCCTGGATACACTGCTTCAATCCTTGTCAGTGTTCAGGACTGCAAACCCTACCAGACCAGACAACATTGTATAATCAGATGTCCTTGCTAGACTTACCATGATCTTCAGTTTCAAGGTGGTTTGAAAGGAATATTTCATCCTCTAATAGTATGTCTCCCATTCAGAGTCTCAGAGCACAGATGGGATCTCTGTGTCCTCTCTTATATTTGGAGCATATGCTTTTAGGATTCATCATAAACTCTGTATTATAGACAAGAAGTAGTATCTTTTAAGCAGCAGAAACAAGGAGAGAGAAACAGTCTTAGCAAAGAATTTCTGTTACAGCATAAGGTGCAGGTCAAGCATGACTATGAACTTTAACAAATTCCCCTATTGTCAGTACCTTCTCTCAGTTTCCTGCTGAAATTAATATAGATGATAATTTA